GAGCAAAGAGAAACAGTGCCTGCCCTCCCCCTTCTGGGCATTCCCCAGAGTGGCCCAACAGCAACTCCACGCCCTGCTGCTGCCTGCAAACTGCTCTCACCCGCCTGCCAGAGGGGAGAGCCGAGGCAGGGGGAAAGCAACACAAAGCCAAAGCACGCCCCTTGCTTTATCCTCCCCTGCCGCTGGCCACAGTTCATCCCCGGCCAGTGTTGCCAGGTGTACAATAATTATCATATCTGTACAATAATTTCAACCCTTGTACAACGTATGATCAATAATAGTAGAAGTGCCCAAAATGTACAATGATTTTTGAGGCAACTGATTGATGCAGCAAATGCAAAACCCAAATCAGCCTCTTTTGGGTTTGCTGCCAGCACTTTCTTATGACTCCTTACCTAGAAATAAAGCATTTTTTTATATAATATATTTCGTGTTCTAGGTCAAATCAGTTCCAAATCGTATTGACTGAGCAGAACTCATTCGGTCCAAAAACCATATTGACTGAGCAAGCAAAACTCAGTAGTCCTAAACAAACACCCCATACAGTGTGACAACTGGCAAGCATCCTCTGTCCCAGTCTCTCACCCTGGGACTCCAGATGCTCCCAAACTCATTGGTAGGCATCCTATGTGCAGGCCCAAGCCCGGAGGCTCAGGTTCGGACACCCACCGACCCCAGCAGTCTTTCCTGCCCAAGTGCAGGGGGGCTGGACCTGATGATCTGTAAGGTCCCTTCCAGCCCCTAACAACTATGAAACTGTAAGCAATCACCCTCCACCCCAGACTCTTTAGCTCGAGACCCTCCCTACACTAGACCTAGCCCACAAGAAGCTGAGACACCAACACTTGATCTGAGCCTTTAAATAAAGGAAATGCTTCAATTCTGATGGCCCAGCTCACTCCTGGGTAACTCACCATAAGTCAATAAGAAGACTTATTTACATACTTTTTTTTTAAATCTTTTTCTCAGCAGACCATCGTTTTTTAGCAACTACTATCATTTGGCGTGTCTAAGACCATCATTTCATACTTAAGACCTGGCAACGCTGCTGGCAGAGGGAAGCACCGAGGCCGGAGGCAAAGCACCGCAAAACCCCTTGCTTTACCACCCCAGCCCGCCGGGCCTTCCGGGCCCAGCCCATGGGCACGGGACACCCAGGTCCCCCTCTCCCCCGGCCGCTTTCGCTTTCGCTTTCCAGGCTGCGGCATCCCCGGGCCCCTCCCCCGCCCCGGGGGGGGGG